GAACATGTCTTGCAATTTGTTTATATCCCATCTTCTGCCATCCGCAGTTAGGAGGTGAGCAACTTTGGCCATACCCGGAACAAAAACCTGCCCCAAAGGGCGCATACTTCCTGCTCTAGGGATCCAATTCGCATGATGTATATTCACTGAAGTACTATCCCCAATGCGCCATATAAGTCCCTCGCGCAGTAGATCTCTCCCATGTAAGATGCTTCGAAAGGTATACGAAGCAGACGAGGTCGCAGTTGCCGTCAGGATTGAGTCGTTGCTAAAGTATCGTGCCTTTAGCACTCTAGCACACAAAGAAGATGGGACCTGCAGAATCCTCCACGCTTGCTTCGCCAGCAGTGCTTGATTGAAAGCCTCGGGGTCTCTAAAACCCATTCCACCATCCCGCTTTGATGTACACATTTTCCGCCAAGAAATCCAGTGTACCTTACGCTCACCATTTGTTGCCGCCCACCAGAATTTTGAAGAGATCGAGGTCAGGTTCCGGCACATCTTCTTCGTAAGCTGAAAACAACTCATGGTGTGGTTGGGTACTACTTGTAATCCAGACTTGATCAATACTTCCCGCGCTGCTTTTGACAGCCCTTGGCCCTTCCATCCACCGACTTTACCTTTCGAGCTTTCTGTCACATATTTGAAGGTACCCTCCTTGGACCGTCCAACCAGTGTTGGCAGTCCTAAGTACCGTTCGCTCAAAGCTTCAGACTGGACACCCAATGCATCTTTGAGCTCATTCTTGTCCTCTTCCTGAAAACCTCTCCCAAAGAAAATAGAGGACTTTTGTAAATTAACTCGTTGGCCCGATGCCTCCTCATATCTCACCAGAATATCTTTCAACATAACCATATTATCATGTGATCCTTCAAGGAAAACCATACCATCATCCGCAAACAAAAGATGTGTAACTTGGGGGCCAGTGCTCCCAAACGACACTCCTTTGATGCTACCCTCTCCTTGTGCTTTTTTGAGAAGAGCGGAGAAACCTTCAACACAGAAGAGAAAAAGGTATGGCGATAAGGGTCACCCTGTCTAAGTCCACGGGAAGGTGAAAAACCCCTAGATAAACCACCATTGAGCTTCACACAAAAGGTGGCCGACTGTACACAACGCATGATCATATTAATCCAGTCCTGTGCAAGCCCAAAGTGTTCCAACATCCGCTGGAGGAAAGCCCATTCAACTCTATCATATGCTTTCATCATGTCTAACTTCACAGCACAGAGCGGCTTCTTCCTCTTCCTCTTCCGAATCGCATGGACACACTCATAAGCCACCAGGACGTTGTCCGTAATCAGACGTCCCGGAACAAATGCACTCTGCTCCTCAGAAATAAGAATAGGCAGGATCACTTTCAGTCTATTAGCTAGAACTTTTGTCGCAATCTTGTATAGAACATTACAAAGGCTAATAGGCGTGAACTGTGCGAGGAGTTCTGGCGAGTTGCATTTTGGTATCATCACAATGACTGTTGCGTTAAAAGCATCTGGCGCCCCCACCCCATGCAGAAAATCCTTAACCCCCCGACAGACATCATCTCGGACTAACGACCAGTATCGTTGATAGAAAAGGGCTGGTAGCCCATCCGGCCCCGGCGCTTTCGTAGGGCCCATCTGAAAAAGTGCCTTCTCAATCTCCTCGTCTGAAATTGGCGCCAACAGTGACCCATTCATCTCAGGAGTGACTAGCTGAGCAATGTTCTGTAAAACAACATCAACACCCTGGGAACCATCCGACGTAAAGAGATTTTCATAAAAATTGGCAGCCATGTTGCGCATATCCTCATCAACCCGACACACAGAGCCATCGTCTCGTCTTAAAGCTTTCACCGTATTTTTCCTCTTCCGATGGGACGCCCTATTCTGAAAATCGTGTGTTCTGGTCACCTGCCCGTACCCAATCCACCCTAGATCGCTGCTTATACAGTATTTCCTCTGGCATAAATTTCCCTTAGCTGTTCCTCTAGCTCCCGGACCTCCAGTGAGAATCCAGTGGTAAGAGCTCGTTGTTTTGCATCCAGTAGCTGTACCTTGAGCAATTTTATTTGTCGCCGAATTGAGCCAAAGACCTCCCGAGCCCATCTTTGCATGGACCCCGTCATAGCAGCCAGCCTATTCCAAACCGCACCAAGCCCCTGTTCTCCAGTGCTCGCCGCTTCCCAAGCTTGCGTGACCATCTCATCGTACTTTTCGTGGCGAGTCCAGGCCTCCTCGTAACGAAAAGGTCTGTCCGCTCCCCTGCCTAGCTGCGGAGCCGTCTCCATCACATGCACCAGGAGAGCTTGGTGGTCCGACTCCTCCGCCAATATATGCTCGACCATCGTCTCCGGGAAGATGGACAAAAACCTACCATTGCATGTAGCCCGATCAAGCCGAACCTGAATATTATCTTGACCATCCCGCTTGTTATCCCATGTAAAAGGGTAGCCCGAGAATCCGAGATCCGCCAAGCTGCAGTCGGCGAGGCAGTCTCTAAAGTCTTCAATCTGCGAGAAACTCCTTGGGTTACCCCCATGCTGGTCCGTTTGAAACAGAGCCTCATTAAAATCACCCAAACAAATCCATGGGAGATCATCTTGTGCCCTCAGATATCGTATCACATCCCATGATTTCTTTCTTAGTTTTGTCTGTGGTTCTCCGTAAAATCCAGTGATCCTACAGAGTTTCCCCTCACATTCAACCTCCGCATCAATGTAATATTGGCACCAAGGCCTCACTTTGACTTGAACATGATCCCGCCACCAGAGGGCTAGGCCACCGCTCCGGCCAACACAATCGACCGCCACTCCATTTGAGAACCCCAGACTCCATTTGAGTATGTCCATAGCCCTTGATTTCTTTTTCGTTTCACTTAAGAAAACCATCGCTGGGTTGTGGGACCGTACCAGGTCACGTAATTCGCCGACTGTCGAGTCCAACCCCAAGCCTCGACAGTTCCAGGCCACAAGATTCATGGCGTCCGGCGGCCCAGCCTGGCAGGGTCCGCCGCTTCATCGTGTTGCTCAGAGATACGATCAAACACATAAGAGGTTTTTTGCCTCGTCTCGCGAATGAAGATATCATTACCAACCTGCCTGTCCACGTCTCCCTTAACCAGTGTAGAAGTTATAACTGCGCGCCAGACATACACGAGACGTGCCTATGAGCTGATCCGCAACAGTGCAAATGTTCATATTGCTTCATGCTCTTTTTGCTTTAAAATGTTTGAACTTTGAATTTGTGATCTAGACAAAATCTCAGTCCAACATGTTCAGTATAGGTATTTAGGGCAAATGACGTGCCGAGCACGAAATCATCTTATTTTTCCCAAACCGACTCTCTGGTTCTACCTGCCACAAGCGCACGAGGGACCATGCGCGGGAACGCGCCTACATGGAACTCAGTGGTTGGGGAACATCCACGTGGGCAAGCGCAACAAGTCTTTTTTTCAACATTTAGTTTTTCTATGTAAATCTTCCAATAACTATGGAAGTTGAACAAATATAGAATTTGAAATTCTGAGAGCTCAAAAAAATTCTGAAAGTTGAACTTTGCTTACAAGTCCTTGCACTCACCCAACCTACCTAGGAAAGAATGGCTAGCACACAAATCGCCCCTACTTATAACCCAAGTCTTAGATTCGCCATTCCTAGCTAAAATAACACAAATCCCCACATAATTTCCACATATTTCCCAGTGCAAAGCTGGAAATGGAACCTCCACCTTTTTTTGCTAGATAGATGGATTTAATTTTTCAGATACACAGACCACCATTATCCTAGCTCTCTTCACACACCACCTCCACCAGAATGCCTTAGTCTCTCGTAGGTGATGCAAGATGGAGTCAAACTTAGCTTGTGTAGCCCGCTATAACCTTGACGACTATCGATGAGATTGTTTCTCTTCTATCTTTGTTGCAGGGTGTTGCCGATCCCGTAGGGCTAGGCTCTAGAACACTGTGTTGATTGATCATGCTTCACCATGCAGAGCGCCTACACCAACATCTCCTGCCAGTTATCACAATACAAGTTGCACATAATTTGGAGTACCCACGTTGGCAACAAGGTCAAAAGTTAGGATAGTTGTTACCCTTTGAAAGGCTAAGCACCAAAGAATGTTGATCTTAAGACCTGTCCACGCTGCATCTATGTTGTACTTGATGTTTCGTTAATTAAAGAAGGGAACATTTTCCTGTTAATATCATGCGATATGGTTGGATGATCAAAAGGGCCCTAGATTTGATGTCACTTGTCATATTGAGGTGGACTATTCCTTCAGCGAGAGAAGACAAAATAACCTCACCTATTGCAACACACCTGTGGTGACTTCGTATATATTGGAAGGAAATGGATGGTGATCGAGCGAACCTTTGGCCGATGCTACGATGGCCGCCCGACATGCTATCAAGGGGTGTTGCAACCTCTGGCCGGCAAAGCTGAAACGGCAGCTCGTTGGAGCACCAAAAGTGGAGTAGCGGAGCTGCAGACAGCCGACGGCGCTGAGATGAGGGAGAGATGTGCGCGAGCCCCGGCGTGGCGTGCTCGGCAGCGGGGTACTAGATGTGAATGATCGAACGGGTAGGACGAGATTAGCATCCGAAGAAAGAGTTTTGCTCTTCTAGTGAAGGTACATGCAACAAAATAAACCAGAGATAGCATTAGAAGTCGTGCATTCACGCTCGCACCAAGAGGTGCTCTAGCTAGGAAATTAACCCGTGCTCTCTCCTCTCTCTATATATGTGGTCCTCATGCACATTCATACACGCCTATACTCCATTAAGGCATGCGATTTGGCCATTGCCAGCTTGCCAAAACAAGCCGATACGGTGGTGGCGACAGTGAGCGATCGTATCACAGGCTGCACACTGTTTTCTCCCACCAACCCCAGGACCTTCCAGAGTTCTATAAAAGCCGGCTCCATCCTCACATTCTCCCTCACTCGACGTCCACCAATCCCCGACCTCACATCGCTCTTCCTCTCTCCCTCCTCTCCATCCAGATACTTGCTGAGTTCACGATGGAGTTCCTGACAGCCACCGAGGTGCTGGACAAGGCTGCCGCTCTCGCCGCCGACGCCCTCGGCTTGGATGGAGAAGCTCGCGGTGCTTGGGGGTACGAGGAGAAGGCGAGAGCGATCGAACGCTGGTACAAGATGTGTTCGGAGGCGGAGAAGGCCGCTGCCGGGGGGGGGAAAGCCCTCGTCGCTCCTGAGCTCGCTGGATCGGTTCCTCGCGCAGATGAGACCGCATCAGACGTCAATCACGTCGGCGGCATGAAACGCGACGGCGGGGATCCCTCCATCTGCGCGGCCCTGCAAGCCAAGATCTAGAGATTAGCCGCTCCTGGAATTCTCTATTGCGAACTGTGTGCTGTCGCAGATTTGATTAGTTCGTCGCCTTGTTTTCCTTTTCTTCAAGTATCTTCCCGGGTTTATCTTAGCTCGTTTAATTTTCTGCAGTTCCAGTTTCGTTGTAGCGCAACTATCGTGTACTCTCTTTTTGTATCGTGGATCCGATGAAGATCCACACCCAGGAATTTGTCAGAAATTTTGCCAGTAGTGTTGTTTGTTGTTTCTCAATCCCGTGCTTAATTAGTTATGTGCTTCTCTTGTGGCCCCTGGGAGACTAGATGTTAATTAGTCTCGTAAATGACATCTTTTTCCGGCCGGGAGGAAGGAAGAACAACTCTTGTAGATGGCCGCCGCCATGGGCAGTCCCTGTCGATCGTGACTTTGTGAGGTCGCTGCAGAGGTTCTTGACGCAGAGGAGATCGGACCAGATGTCCAACCTGACGGCCGGGATTCCTCACTAGGCTAGTCGTTCCTGGAGAACTCAATAAATATAGTTTGGTTGTAGCGCAAGTGCAACTACTTTTCGTGTACTTCCTTTTTCTACTTTCTTCTTCCGGTTTACAGGCTCATCGTAAAATTCTCGCCAACCAGTTTTTTTGTTCATTGTTTTTTTTTTGTTTATCTTAAAATCCTCGCCAACCCGGTTTAGAGTATCATGGGTCCAATGAAGGTTGATCCGGAAATTGCTCGGAAATTCTGCCATTGTAGTTGTTGCTCCCGTGCTTAATTAGTTTTTGTGTGTGTATTGTGGCCCTGTGTGTATAAGTACATCTTAATTAGGCTCGTAAATGCCTTACTTTTTTATTTTCAAGATGCATCTAGCTAGATGAAATATTTGGGTTTTAGGGGACGAATGAAATGTTCTTGTGGATACCTCCAGGTCCTTGCAAGATCTAGCGATTAACTAAGCTAGGCTATCCACTCTTGGAATTATCTATAGCGAATTGTGCTTTCGTAGATTTAATTAGTACTGCATCTTGTTTTCCTCTTCATCTTGTACTTTCTTTTTGTCTTGTGATTCCGATGATGATCAATCG